GGGTGGTCCAGCTTCCGGGGTTCCGTGACCCGCTTCCTGATTGGCCACATGGTCTTGGCCTTCATTGGCTGGTGACTATACATAAAACTTCCTGCTTCTCTTCTGCCCTTGTCTGAGCAACAAGCTACTGCCTACCAGTTGCTCTGTGGACCCCTTGACCCTGCCAGCTGCCCTGCTGTACCTTCCCCTTGGATTGGATCTCCTGGCGATCAGACCCCTTGCATGAACTCTGACCACTGAGCCCGACTGCCCTGCAACCGCCAGACTCCCAAAGTAGTCCCTACAGTCCGCGTCTAGTCTAGTTCAAAGTGTTCCTCTGGTTGTTATAAAAGAAATGTCGTTAGCGAGATTGTAATTGGGGGCTAATGTTGCTAGGAACTAAAGCAGCTCTTTATCAGAGAGTAGCCAAGCCTGACAGCATTGTAACTCTGTTCTTCTTAAAGAGATGAGCTTGCACTAAACCAAGCAGCACATTAGAAGTAACTAGACAAAATGGCAGGGTTTTGAAAGGCCAGCAAAAGCAATAATACAGCCTCTAACAGAGAGAGCGCTCAGCTTACCTCTGGCTTTTGGAAGCCGTACAATGTTTTTGCAGTGCTGCCAGAACAGTTCTTTACTGAACTTGGAAAGTCTCGCATGCAGGTTTCAACACCTCCGTCTCGCACCACATAATGCAAAAGCTAATTCTACTTTCAGGCTGATGTCAACATCCCCCTTTACTGCCCCAGCGAAATGTGAAGACGATGTTAATTTGCATTTGTTGTGTGCAAGTAACACATTCCAGATAATCGTGGTAAGTCCTCCAAGGTATAGAGGAGAATTTCCTGGCTAATGTGCTGGATGGAAAAAGCCGCCGGGATCCAGGCATTGTGTGTTTTCATAACGCCACCTGGAATAGGCGCAGCTTAGAAATACATACTGCAGTGCTGCAAATACAATGGCATACCAGTAGCAGCAGCAACAGTGAAGAGGCTGCTGTGCTCCATATTAAACCTTAGGGTTGAGGCAGTACTAATGGGGACAATGGAGTGGCGCAGATCCTCTGATCAGTGAGCAAATTTGATGGGCTGGATCTATACATGGCTTTGCATCCCACAATGGCCAAAGGCCCCTCCCCCACCTTCATGCACCCTACTTTGAATTCTGGCATGGAATGGGATTCAGTCACAGCCCAACACACAAGCTGCAGTTGGCCAGAAGAGGAATCCCTATGGGGAGAGGGCTGGATTTTGAAACTTTGAGACACACCTATTCTTAAGAGCCAATAACTTTATGGGAAAACTGGCCTTTAGCCACCAGCTATAACCATTGTGAACGGAAAGTGCTTTGAACCATTACTATAGGGTACAGGAGTGTTTCTTTAAATAAGTGAAGGGAGAGATCCCCCCTCCCCCATTAAATAATTTTCTTGTGCCCTGGATCCACCAGCAGAAATGCCCTGCTCACTCATTTGGCTGTGATGCAATATTATTTCTTTATTAGTATCACCCTGACAGGCCCAGCTAGAGACCCTGTGACAGGACAGTGTGGTGTTTTGCAGGGTGTATATGTGATGTGATGTGGGGTTGGGTGGGGTGACAACCAACCCAGTTGGGGCCTCATTGTGCTATGTGTTGTATGTACATGGAGCAAGGGGCAGTTCCTGCTCTGATACATTATTAATTATTATGCAGATGAGGAAGGTTGTGAGTTCAATCCTTGAGGGGGCCATTTAGGGATCTGAGGCAAAAATCTCTCTGGGGATTGGTCCTGCTTTGAGCAGGGGGTTGGACTAGATGACCTCCTGAGGCCCCTTCCAACCCTGATATTCTATGAACGTCTATGAACTGAGGCACAGAATAATTAAGTAACTGTCCAAGGGTCATACGGGAAATCTGTGGTAGAGCCAGGAACTGAAATGCAGATTTTCCGATTCCCAGTCCAATCCTTTAACTAGAAGATCATCCTTTCTCTGTTACACCAATATAGCTATATGAATCCATGATAGCTATATAAATGCAACACATCAAATAAGGCTTAAAATGTTCCATTAGGTGGTTAGAACATGTGTGTCTATAGAAATAGAAGCTATAGATCCTATGGAGATGGGCAGCATTAGATTAGCTAGTTTGCTTTCTGGTGACATGTATATGCGCTCGGTGTCTGGAATATCTCCTGGTGCCCAAAGGAATCAGAGTTTAAGAAACAAAGATTCAAAAGCTTCTGGAAGAAGTACAGTTGTATCAATAAACTTCTAATACTCAGTTACAGCATGCAGCCTCTTCTCCATAAAACAAATAGCTCATCACTAACAAGCCATTACTGCAGAAGTGAAACAATTATTACTGTAAGCAACATGCTGAAAATATAGACACTTAAGATGGGGATAATAATGACCATTTGTCTATGAATTGGAAAAATGTGCTAGTTTTTTGTTTGTATGCAATGAACACAGAAACTTGGCTTATACTCTGGAGTAGATTAACCAGTTTGAACTCAGAACTGTCCAAATGCAATAGACTCCTCTATCAGGGTATATGGGCTGTTGGAATGGATTTTCCATCTTTACTCCTGTATTGTACACTCCTTGTAATGACAATGATCTTGCATTTCTGTAGAGTCTTTCATCCTGAAGGGTCTCGAAGAGCTTTTCAAACATCACAGTCTGATAGACCAAGTCTACACAGGATCACCTTGCAATGCAGCTATGTGTGGGATGGAATGAGGCAGCTGTTTGATGGCTCACAGGGGTTTAGGATAGTAAATGAAGGAGAATACCTTATTCAGCTGAAACTTCTGAGCTAAGATAAGCAGAGAGAAAGAAAGTTGGTCAAGACATGGGGCTGGCAGCCTTGTTCTTCACAAACTTTAATGACCACAAGTGTCCAAATCCTTTGTTTTACATTCCATCCAAAAGACGTTGCTTCCAGCAGCGCAGTATCCGCCAAACTTGCTGGGTGTCTGTGTCCATCCATTTCAGTTAAAACTGTGTTCAGGGATCCTGCAGTGGCATGTGAAGGCAATGAATTCATTTCCATTTACGATCTGTTATGATGATACCCCTGAAGGATAAAAGTCTATACATAATAATCTCTCTCTTCAGCTTTGTTAACAACTTCAATTAACAGAGAGCTGTGTAATGCTTCATCAGCCATTTGGATTACAGATGAAATTAAGCCATCATATTTATGAACTACTCAGTGAGTTCTAGGAGAACTCCACATATTTTAGATTTAATAACTTGCCCTCTCATTTTATTTATAATGTTAATAATGATTTGGTGGCTGCTGTGGGGGGAGAACATAAATGACAAAGAGACCAATTCACAAAGGGACAGTAACCGGAGTTATGCTTTATGGGAGCAGTGTACTGTCAATACGTGGCTACATTCTTCCTCAGTTCATTTTGTATTCTCTTTTATGTTTGATTGACTAGCTCTGCGAACCAGGCGACTTCTGCCTTATAATTGCTTTCCACTCAGCACTTTGAAAACCTGTAAGTGTCTCATGTTAATAATTAAACCTGGTAAAGTGGATCTGTTATGTCTACAAACTAGTGGGTCTGTGAGTGGACCTAGCTTAGCAGCAGAATTCCACCAGGCCAAGATTTTCAAAAGAGGCTAGTGATTTTGGGTGCCCAGCATGAGACGCCTTAAATAGCCTGATTTTCAAAGTGTGGGTGCTCAGGCCTATCTCTAGAGAAATGAGAGTCTGGAAAAATATGCTGTATCGTAACATAATTGATCCCACTTCACTAAGCGATTTCTGCCAGGTGTTCATTTTGTGCTACTTGACTTGGGGTTTTGTCTCATGCCCATTATTATTTATTATTTGTATACTAGTAGAACCTAAAGGCCTCAACTGAGATCAGCCCCATCATACTAGGTGCTGTACAAAGACACAGTAGGAGACAGACCCTGCTCCAAAGAGCAGACAGTTTACGTAGCCATTCTACAGATAGGAAGCTACTGCAGAGGAGATGAAGTGACATGCTCAAAGTCACCCAGCCAGTCTGTGCCAGAGTCAAGAACTGAACCAGGGTCTCCAAAGTCCTACTGCGATGCCTTATTCACAAGACCTCCCTTTCTGTCAAGGATTTGGGCTTCTGCAATCAAAGGGACTAATCTTGCCCCGTTAAATTCAACAGGAGTTTCACCCTTGACTTTCTGAGCTGGATTCTGTTTTGCACCTCACTGCCAGTGCAAAACCTCTCTAAAGCTGGCAGGGCAGCCCCTGGGGTGGGATGGGGAATCACCCCTGACCAGCAGCGTCTATTGCACCCACCCTCCCTTCCTGCCTAGAGGCATGGCTGGGGAAAAGAGGGGATGCTCAGGGCTCCTTTGCACCCTGCAATCCCATTGCAAGTTAGAATGGCCACTCCCAGTAGAGAACGAGCCTGATTCACAGGTGACCTAGGATTAGTGGAGTGTAAAGGTAACTTGGAACTACCTGATGCTCCTAGGCCGACAGCTGAGACTCTGGGTGTCAGTTTTTACATATTTGGGAGAGGTTGTGATGATAGGGACCATAAGAACAATGGAAGCAGGGCTCGGGCCATAAGAACAACGGTCCAAATGGAAGTGGTACCTCTGAGTACCACGGCTGAACTGGTCCTAAGTCACTATCTTGGAGCAAACTTCTTGGGGACATAAAACTATTGTTCCCTATGTGCAAAATTATTAGCAGTATTACGGTAATGCCTAGAGCAATGGCTCTCAATCTTTCCAGACTACTGTACCCCTTTCAAGAGTCTGATAGGTCTTGTGTACCCCCAAATTTCACCTCACTTTAAAACGTACAAAATCGGATATAAAAATACAAATGTGTCCCAGCTCACTATTACTGAACAATTGCTGACTTTCTCATGTTTACCATACAATTATAAAATAAATCAATTGGAATATAAATATTGTACTTACATTTCAGTGCATTAGTATACAGAGCAGTGTAAACAAATCATTGTCTATGAAATTTTAGTTTGCACTGACTTCACTAGTGCTTTTTATGTTGCCTGTTGTAAAATTAGGCAAATATCTAGAGGAGTTGACATACCCCCGGAAGACCTCGGAGTACCCCAGGGTTGAGAACCACTGGCCTAAGGATCCCAGATGAGATTTGAGCTCCATCGTGCTGGGTGCTGTACAGACACATAGCAAGAGATAGACCCTTCCCCCCAAAACAGCAGTCTAAATAGAGAACACGAACAAAGGTGGGGGAGGGGAAACTGAGGCCCAGAGAGGGGATGTGACTTGCCCAAGGTCAAACAGCAGATTGGTGGCAAAGCTGGAATGGAACCCAGCTCTCCTGACTAGTGCCCTATTTGCTGCCTTTCATTAATGATGAATTACTTTTTATTTATTTATTTATTTGGGTTCATTTCCAGCCTGCAAATATGCCATTGCAAACACATTGCATTGCTCCCTGTCTCTGCTGTACTAATGCTGGAGCACAGAGAGCCTCAGCAAGGTTAATTAATTTGAGCGAAGGCTGAAGCCTAAAAGACGGGGAGCAACACACAGAGATGATGGCTGGCAAAAATCATTAGAAGCATCTTTCAACAATCTATATACTGTTATCGATCCTGTTATAGATCATGTTCCTTTCCCCCTTTTTTTTTTGCAGGATATTCTGGATCGATATGGCAAGTGCATTGAGACTGCAGCAACACATTTAAAACCTTATAAAAGGTTATTTAGTTGCTAACAGTGCAGCAGTTTCTGCAAAGCCTGCCAAAAGGTTACAGCTTTTTGGGCATCATAAATTACAGACGACAGGGGAAAAAAGTAAGTGCGGTTTTCTTTATTGTCTCAATGATGGATGGGCTCCTGAACAAGACACAAAATACATCATATCACCTTTAATGGGTCCACATTTCTGTAGCCATAACTCACAATTTTAAAATAGAAAATGGTGAAATATGGCGTTGTATATTCCACTCCTGACATATTTATGAGTCCTTCCCTTCTTATAAATACAGTGATTGCTATTTCAAAGCACCATGTCAGGTATGAACAGAGCGCAAACAGCTGGTGCGGTTGAAAAATTATAGCCAGAGTTGGACGTTTTCAAAAACTCTCTCTAGCAGCAGTAAATTTACAATGTTTGCACTAACTGTTATTAAAACCAAATCCATAGCTTGGCAACAGGAATCCATTGCTGTGTAACAGCTGGAGTGACAGCGCTGCATGACAGCTGGGGAGAGCTGGAAGGCTGGTGCTACACCCGTGTGAAAACCCATTTCAAGGGGATCAACCTTCTCCATCCCAGCCTGTGCTGTCCCCAGCAGTCTGTGTGCTGTGAGTTGGACTGTTGGGAGAATGACAGCAGCCTAGTTTATCTTCTGCCTGGCTCCATGTTTTAATCTTTTCTTTTCAAAAGCCTTTCCTCTGACGGCTGAGACTCGCCTCATCCCAAACTCGTGGGCGTGTCTGATTCGGCCTTCATGCAAATACAGCCTGATTAGCTCCCAATCCTGCAAGCTGGGGCCCAGCACCCTGAGACAGCAGTGAAGTCACTTTCAACAGGTTTGGGATCTAACAGCTCCATTTTCCGAAACACCACTGAGCTTGGTTACCTAAAGCGAGGGACTGCAGTTAGGGCAATGTATATCCTGCAGCTGGAGGTGCGCTTCCCGGCCCACTTAGACAGACGTGTAGGTCTGTGTGAGCTAAAAATAGCAGCATTGTTGTGGCTTGGCCTATCTTCCTGAATACGCACTCAGGGCGCTGGGGCGTGTTTCCACTTGCAGGGCTAGTCCGAGCCCTGACCTGTGCTACCCCTCCTCCCCAGCTATTTTTAGCGCAGTAGCTCAAGCAGAGCTAGCCCGTTTCTGTCTACCCGCACTGGGAAGCGCACTCCCAGCTGCAGCATAGACGTAACCCTTAGAGACTTCTACTGACTCTCCTCAGCCACCCAAACTTGAGGCATCCAGTTACAGGCTAAGTATCAGAGGGGTATAGACCGGTTGCCCTTTATGGGGAGTTAGTGCCCAGTCTGCCCCTGGAGGGCAGGTTAGTAAATGAGCACCTGGACTTAATAAAGGTCCCCCAAGCTCAGTTAGAGGGGAGCCCCCAAGGGAGACATGAAGCTCCTGTTCAGAGCAGCTCCCAGGAGAAGCTGCTGCTGAAGTGTCTAGAGTGAGAGTTATCTGGGGACCCCACCAGACTGGTGCTGCAGAAGGGGGGAACCTCCTAGATGCAGGACTGCAGTCAGCAGGCAGGAGGGCCTGGTCTCAGCCAGGGATGCCCCTGACACTAGCTGGAAGCCCAACCTGGCAAGGATCAGCCACTATTCATGGAGAAGAGCGGCAGTGGACAGACCTCCATGGACTCCTGACTCCAGAGGCAGGAAGCCTAACACCAGGGGCAGAGACTGGAACTGAGAGATCCCCCGGTGAAGAGCCTGGCTGGAGGCGAGAACTGGACGCAGGTGGGGACAGATGGATTAAGAATGCCTTGGTCTCCAGCTGAGATGTTGGGGTGAAAGCTTTGTTTGTGTCCTGCGTCGGCTTTTCTGTTAATAAATGAGGCTCTCCGAAAGCGGGTTTAGCATCTAACTGTCTGGAGCAATTAATACCCTAAGAGGGAAAAATTGAGTAAGTGCTCACCCACAATACCACGCCCACCTGCAAGGGGGTGCACTGGGTCAGCCAGGAATGAAGACACCCCCCACCAAATCAGGGGCTGCTAATGAGAAGGCTGGACAGACGTGGAGCTCCTGCGTGGCTATTTTGTGCACACAATAGTGTCACTGAATGGATTTCCTGTTTCCGTTATCAGCACAGCTCCTATAAAGCCAAAAGGCCAGATCTACAACTGGAGTGAACTGGCATTTCTGAAAAAAGAACAGCTGTACTTGTGGCACCTTAGAGACTAACAAATAAGGTGCCACAAGTACTCCTGTTCTTTTTGCGAATACAGACTAACACGGCTGCTACTCTGAAACCTGGCATTTCTGAGAATCATTTTCTGAATATTTTCCTAAGGGCAAGGTCTGGAATAATCTCAGAAAGGAAGTGGTGAAAGCCCCATGGCTAGATTCATTTAAAAATGGACTGGTCAAAGCACTGGAGAACGGGGAGGAAGGATGGTCCAGTGCTTAGGGCATTAGCCTAGGAGACTCATGTTCAATTCCCTGCTCTGCCATAGACTTCCTGGGTGACTTTGGGCAAGTCACTTAGTCTCTTTGGGCCTCAGTTCTCTACCTGTACAATGGGGATGACAAAGCAGTGCTCAGAGTCTTTAAATACATTAAAGTCTGTGAAGTGCTCAGATGCTATGGTAATGGGGATCTGGATAGAGTACAGTGTCGGGACCGATCGGGGGCTGGCCAGAGAGGGTGAGCAAGATGTCTAACTATCTCTAACATCTCTAATGGTGACTCCCATGCTCTATCCTCAATACTCCCAGCCGAAGGTCCAGCTCTGGCCTCTCTCTAATTCATCCTTCAATCCATAATGGCAGTTTAATGCTACATTAAAACACATTTAAAACTCTTGCCATTTCTGTGTCATTATTTCCACTCACTCTGCAAGAGTGTTTTACTAGTAAATACCTCAGGATGGAATTAATCCTGCCAAGAGCCCTTCTGAACATCAAAGCTCCGGAGAGTACGCAGAATTCTCCTTCCTCATTTACACACACAAAAGGCCTCTAATTAGCTTTTTGTTTAGTCCGATTATGAATGGGAGTTTTGACCTTTCAAAGTGATTAGCTTTTTAAACAAACTAATTTGCATAATGTCAATTTCTAAACTATATATACCAGCCAAGGCTGTGGTTTTAAAGAATAGGAGCTGACAGTCAGGGTCTCAGATCCATATTTAGGTACCGAAACTACGCCCTGATCCTGCAAACACCCGCATGCTAAATTTCATGCATCCACATGGGGTCCCATTAGTCACTGGGACTCCTTGTGTGCAAAGTGAACCATGGGCGTCAGTGTTTGCAGTGCTGGGGACTTTCCAAATTGCTCAGGCCCAGATTTTCAAATGTTCAGAACTGGAAATTGGGGCCAGATTTTCAAAAGAGTTTAGCATCCAGCATGCATCTGCTGTACTGAGCCCTTGAATATCTGGTCCTAGTGGCCACATGTTCAAAAACACTCCACACCCAGAAGCTTCCATGGAGGCCAACTTTAGGTCCTTAATTTTGAAAATCTTTGCCCACTGTTTTCAAAGATGGGTGCAGATGTAGGCAGCTAGGTTTGAAAATTTTGACTAGGGTAGCTAACACAGGTCAAGTCTAGTAAGGGTATATGTATTTTTGCACACGGATTAAATATGTTTTCTAGATAATTTACATTCTCTTGTATAGGCTTTGCTTGGGACATTATAATCCCGTTTAATTTTGGCTTTAACTCTGTCCCATAATGATCTCATTAGCAGTGAATTTTTCAATGCTTACTTTTGCTTCTTTTCCGTTTCAGTGACTTTAAATTTCTTATGCTTTTGGCTTTGATTTCAAATGACCCAGCATTGATTCCTCTAAAATAAGAGACTGACAGTAACTAATGGCCCTGTTTCCTGCTGCCAATGCTGTAACAGCAAACATGTCACCCCGATCTGCAATCTTCCCGAAAAGCTGGCTTGATGCAGTGCTGCCATGATGAGATGTTCCTGCCAATGCAACTTGTATATCCAGGGCAGAAGGATGAAGTGGTTTTAGCTTTGACTGGTGCCCATGACAGTGATGGGCTGAATGAAATATCAGCCAATCACTCCATATGTATATCTACCTGCATTTCCTTCTCGTTCCCTTTAGATGGACAATGACTAGTATCTAATTAGGCCCGTGCCAACCCTGCAAGACATGGTTCATACAGGTGTCGGGGAGCAGAGCCCTGCACAGCTTGGAATCAAATCAAAGCATCCTCTGCTGGCTCCCTTGCCAGTCCAAATCTGGTGAGTTTGAACCTCCACAGCTTGTCCCTCCCTATGTCTGCCTCACAGAGCATCCTTCCTGTCTCCCACACAATCCCCAGGATTGGCCCTCCTATCGGCATCTGTGATAGGGCTTGCTGGGGGCAGGGAATGGCTGTTGCTGGTTTCTTCACTGGGGGAAAGTCATCCCTGTACAGAAGGCTAATGTGCCACTTAAGTCCTACTTAAACCTTATGGAGGATATCCTGGCTCCTTTGAAATCAACAGAGCCAGGATTAGACCCTCTGAGTGTACAGGCGCCAGAGGCCTTGTGTTGGTACTGCGTACAGGGTTGTATTTTACATTGTATTTACAACCTCCTTAGGGCATGTTTGCCAAACATTTGCAAGGGCTTAGGTCAATGAATGCATCAGACCCTGAACTCAAGACTTATTCAAACTTTTTTGCTGTTTAATATGACTCTTTCCCCAGAGCCTATATCAGATGTAGGCATGTATGTGTCATATAACACAATAGGGACTGCTTTCATCATCCATAGATCACTCCTCGCCTAAGTCACCATCCCAGACAGATTTGGTTTCCGTTTACAGGGACTTTGATCCTTCCTATGTGATTTGCTTTGTTTACTTTTTCACGTGAATTCACGCTGGCGAAAAGTGGTGGGTTGGTTCAAGCTTGTCCTGGAAGCACACGCAGTGGCCTTGTTTATACTAGGGTAACAAGACTGGATTCCCTACTGCAGACGAGGGGTTTTAAGCACCATGTTGTGGAGACCTGATATGAGCAGGGTTAGATGACGTGGGGTGAGATTTTCAAAAGAGCTTAAGAGATTTAGGAGCACAGGCCATATGGACCATCAGTGGGACTATATAATGCTATATCTCAGGGAAAGACACTTGGACCTGTGCTCCTAAATCACCTACATGCTTTTGAAAATCCCACCCTTGGAGGTGCAGATGCCAGTGGCTGCCCGGACCCCTGTCTACAGTGTAGTTCCCACCATTGCTACTGCTAGTGGAGCTGAATTGGTGGTGGCAACAGCAGGACATTTTAGACCAGAACTCTGGTGGCAGATGGCTGATCGCATTGGGCTTCCCTTCACTAGAAAATTATTGTCATGTTAATATGACCTTGAGGAGTAGAGCTAACACGATGTTTAGCGTGACCTGGCCTTGCCTACACTGGCTGCAAGGTTGTGCTGGTTAACATGACTCCTCTGGGTCGTCCTCTAACATGACCTAATTTTCTAGTGAAGAGGAGCCCGTTGATTCAGGTCTCTGCAGCAAAGCTGGGTGAATAACTAAATGTCTGGGTCAGTGGTCGTTCCGAATCTGAAAATTATCAGAATTTTTAGTGAATTGAAAAAGTCCATTTCAGGTCTGCTCCAGAGGAGGATTTGAATCTAGGTCTCTCCCATCCCTGGTGAGTGTTATAACCTAAGGTTATGTGGGGACCAGTGGCAGCAGCACCACCTCTTCCTCCAGCCGGTTTGTTAATGGTCAAAACAATCTGTGTCCAATTTGTGAGTAGTTTTGGGTCGACTGACACTGCATTTTTCTTTGAATAAACTATATGTCCAAAAAATGTCGCCTCGCTCTCCTCTGCAGTTCACTCAGTCCGGCCCCTGGATTTTAGCAAAAACCCTCTTAGTGCAAGCCTGACCCCAGGATGTTAAAGGAAGAGCTGGAAATTTTCCCCCCATCTCTTAGAACTGGAAGGGACCTTAAAAGGTCATTGAGTCCAGCCCCCTGCCTTCACTAGCAGTACCAAGTACTGATTTTGCCCAGATTCCTAAGTGGCCCCCTCAAGGATTGAACTCATAACCCGTGGTTTAGCAGGCCAATGCTCAAACCACTGAGCTATCCCTCTCCCCCTTTAATGAGCTAAAAGAGAACAATAGAAACTCTTCGTGGTAGCTAGATTCAAAACTATCACTGATCTGCATTCCTTTATCTGTGCAAAGCCCTCGAGAGATGCATTTTATTACCTGGGATTATTAAACAAACAGTTATAGATAACGAAATGTTAGCATCTTCACATTTGTTTTTAAACTTGGAATCACCGTAATGGAGACCTGCTCTTTTCTAAGCTGGCTTTATCAATGCACAGATGCTACATTGTTCTAAACCCTTTTGCCTCTGCATAGTTTATCAGAGCCAGGGGTTTTATGTCTATCTCTGGTTATTATTAGTCAGTCGTGCTGGTAGATTTCATGTCTCTTTGGAAGAGGAATAATAGAAGATAAATTGTTGCTTTGGGTAGGTCCTCTTGGAAAATGGCTCTCATGATTCAACAGCTCTTTGGTTCAGGGCTTTGGAACCGGGAGAACCATTGCATTTTAATTTTATTTCAGTAACAGTTCCCCTCATCCCAAGCCACCTAAGAGACAGAGAGGTGACCTGAACACATGGCTGGGAGCAAGTCTAATCCTGGCATTAAAACACACTCCCTTATATGGCCAGGACGGAGCAAAATCACTTAACCTCTCTGCCTCAGTTTCTCTGTTATATGGGGACGATACTGCTCAACACCCCTGCTCGCTGGGGTGGTGTGCGGATTAGTGAGTGCATTACAAAGAGCTTTGAAGATAGTGCTATTTAGCATTTGCATCACGCTTCCTATTAGATCAGAGCTGAGTAAGTAGCTGAAAGAGAGTAAAGGGCACGTTGGACCTAGGAAGAAAGGGCCCTAGTTAATGCGCATCCTGGGCTTAACTCCAGTGTGGTGTCTTCATAAGAGTGGGTGTTCAGCCAGCAGGATATTAAAACATGTATCCTACTAGGAATTGTACAGACCATATTTAGCTCCAGATATAGTTGATCCAGCTTTATTCCCCCCAGCCCTATCTGCTGGATTTATATGATCCAAATCCAAACCAGGCAGATTTGATTGAACTCAGGGAACTCAGCTGAAAAGTTGGTTCCCGGCAAAGGGTGCTGGCCAGCCTCTCATTAGAGTGCCTCCTACTGGATAATTGTGGTTTGACGGTGACATGGAAGAAGGCACTCAGCTGTCGTCCTGGCCAGGGCATAGAATATTACTTGCTCTGGTGATTTGCTGTTCTGTAGGGACGTTTGGGGAATATAGAGGATGTTGAAGTTGTGGTGGGGTATGTGTGGGGAGGGAGACGTAAACCAAGAATTCGGAGGTAAGAAAAGACTCCTGCTGTTTGTGTGTGTTGGTTACACATTCATAATCCTCCATTGTCAGGGAGATGGACTAGATCAGAGGTTCTCACCTCGTGCCCCCCCATTTCCATTCTGGGGATCACCCTGGAGCCCCCCCCTCCGATTTAGCAATACAAGAAGGGCCATGTGGCTGTGACCCCTTGATACCTGTTTACGACCCCTTGGCTAGGAGCTCCTGGATTAGATAACCCAACGCGCACACACATCCTATACTGACTTTCTGAGCACAAAGTGAGACCCTGCTGAACCCCTGTGTGTAATGCTTTCTTTCCTGCACACGTGCGAGGACCTCTGAGTTGCCTGCTCTGTTTTATAGCGTTGCTGTTTCCTGGCCTGGCTTTATTACATCTGTTCTTTGGGGTATGGTGTTATAAATTGGGTAGGTGATGATATGTAATCACTAACCGAAAAGCCAATACATTTTCACTGCAACAGCAGTAAGACAAATAAAGGAGAGGAGGGAGGGCCTGGTGAGGCTCCGACAAAGGGGTGTAGTTTTTTAAATGCAATTGCAAATTGAAAACAATGTTATCCTCATGTAGCTGGTTTCATCGCACAGTCATGGCTGCTGCTTTCTTTCTGGGAGAACAACCCAGTGCTTTGGGGAGGGATTGAGTTTCCTGTTGAAAATTTTAGACCTCCCTTTGATTCTCTTTTGGAACTCAGGTTACAGCTTCTGCCTCTCTGCTCTGAGGCTGGCCTGGGAACATGAAAGTCACTGGGTACAGCCAGGGAACATAGACATGCTTAAGAGGGACTCCTTTTCCTTTGTTTGGGAAAACCCAAGTTGCCAACTGCTTCTCTCATCTGATGAACAGAGTATCAGGAATGGGGTGACTGTCCCAATGAAAGCAAAGGCCTCCAGCAAACAATGATATCAGAATGGTAGAATAAGTCGTCAGGGACTTCTCTACACTAGAGAGCTAGTCTGGTTGTATAGAACCTGTTTAAGCACAAGCATGGTGTTGTATCCACACTAGCCAGGTTGAATCTGTTTAGGATCCATTGCAGGTTTCTCCTTGTCCACACTAGAGCTGTCCTAAACCTTTGCCATTGAAATGGCCTCTTGGGACCTATCCTTCAATTCCTAGTGTAGCTCCTAGAAGCAGTGCACTCTGGGAGATTTCACTAAGCCATTTGTGCAGCACCATGGGACAGTAGCAGGAGGACTGATTGTAGCACACTTCTGAAGCACTTGAGGCATTTCTATGGGTTTGTACTCAGGTGCTACCCCTGGCCACACAGCTACTTGCTAGCATGCCACCTCGAGCAGAGCTAGCGTGTGTCTGTCTACCTGCGCAGGGAAGGATGCTCCCAGCTGCAGTGTAAACATACCCCATTGACACGACAATTTACATCAGCTGAGGATCTGACCCCTGTGCCTTATAAATGTGCTAGGAGGTTAAAATGGTTCTACGTGGTTTGGTCAGTTTCTCAAGTGCAGCTCAGGCCTTGCTCCATTATTTGTTGTGGGATAAGGAGCAGGGCCGGCTCTGGCTTTTTTTGCTGCCCTAGGCAAAAAAGCCTCCCGCCACCCCCGGCCCCCCAGCGGGGAGTGCAGCAGGGGAGGGCGCCGAGCCCAGCTGGGGCCCCGCTCTCCCCGGCCGGCCGGAGCGCCGCCCCCCTCCAGGTGCCGCCCCAAGCACATGCTTGGTAGGCTGGTGTCTGGAGCCGGCCCTGATAAGGAGAAGCAGTGGGGATGGGTTGCTGTGTCAGGATGAGTTGGAGTGGCTTCCAGGACCATTGCTAACAGTGGTGATAATGGCACTGTAAATACAGATGGTGCAGATGGAATGGGAGATAAATGGATGGGGGTTAACCAGCTGCAACTTAAGATGTGCCTGTGTGCTGCTGTGCCAGTTTATCACGATGAGTGTCATAGCAAAAATCAATCCTCTGTGTTCTTTTGGGAATTACAACTATCATTTTGGTGTGATTTATTTGCTGTATAACGTGGACAGGGCTATTTGTTCATCATTTTGAAAGTTCACCTAAAATTGCTTTGAGTTCCTGGTTTTCAGGAATGACATGCTCAATTGTTATCTCCTCCCATGTGAAATATGGATAATGGGTACCCGCTGGACAGCACAACTCTCCTCCATGCTTTCTAGGCTTGCGTTGTCCAGGAATTTCATTGCATCACAGCCCCACAGGAAAAGCCTCATGGTAGCTACAGGTCCTCCTGGGTGGAGATGGAGCCTTACATGTCCTCCTGGGAAGCCACAAGAAGGTGTCTTGAGAGTTCACAATGCCATTGGCTAGATACTCCTCTCACACCAGGTTATGTGGACTTCAGTGGAATTACTCTTGATTTACACCAGCGTGAGATCAGCTTCCTGCCTCTGCATCTTTCCCTTCTCAGGTACAACAGGACGTTCAGGTTGGCAGATTGTGGTGCTCTGCTCTTGGGGGATTATGTGCTACCAGCAGGCTCACAGGCTGGTGGGATGAGTCTCTGCTATCTACATCACGGCCCAGAAACCTTGCTACTTGCGATACTCATGGCAAGGCATACAGGAGACTCCTGCTCCAGTGGAGGAGGAATGCATGAGGCCGGAGAGAGAGAGGAAGTGACTTGCTCAAGGTCACACAGGGAGTCTAGGGCAAGAATAGAACCCAGATCTCGAGTTGTCCCAGTCTGGTGCCTTGACCATTAGATAATCCTTCCCCATATTGGGGAATCTCTGACTGCAGGTGTTGTACAAACATTTCCTATTATAAACTGTCCCCTAGCCAGTGGCACTGGGGAGGATGGGTTCCCACAGTGCCTCCTGCAGGAAGGCTCCCTGCATTGCAGCTCCTACCATCACCTCCAAAGTTAAACCTTACACTGGCATAAAGCAAAGCAAAGCAAAGCAAAACAAAACAACCCAACGCGGCGCATTTATGAGATCTTATACACAATGTCTCAAACAACCCTTCCCATGCACTGGTGGTACAAAATCCCCTCTGTTATTTAAATTACATGGATGACTGGGGAAAGTTTGAACATAAGTGATGGAGTCGGCAGCTCTTGATTGAAGTTTTTCTCACTAGTGCTATTTAAATTGGCATCATTGACCTTCAAAGGGGGGCAGGCACTAATGCAGGTGTTAGCCTTCATGCCACTCACTCAGGCCTGTCATTAATACTTAAGCCCTTAACAGGTGTTTTCTGCTGTACTAGAGGAGGCCTGACACCTCGGTGTGTCCATTTTCCCCCTTGAAAGAGGCATTTTGTTGCTGGCAAACAGCCACACCGCGTGCTGATTTGTTCCTGCTCAGTGCTGGGTAAAAATTCACATATGTTCCCAGTTTCAGGGCAAGGTCCCCTGAAGCCTCCTCTGATAATTTTGAGGGATGGAGGTAAAGATTGGAGGTGAGATGTAAAAGGTCCTGGGGGTGTTTATTTTTTTCCGGATGAGCCGCGTTAGCGGCTCTTTTCGCTGCAGCCGAGCTACAACATAATCACGCGTTTGGCTCTCTGCTGAGCGAAAGGCACATCAAGGTGTAGAAAGTGGGTTAGCTCAGCGGGATGCTAAAAGTGAGCATCTGCACCAGATTAGCTCGAGTTCCACTCCGCACAGCAGCTTATCCCTCCCCATTACTTTCCTGGAGCTGGTGGAACCGGGAGGGCATAATGCCGAGGACAAGCAACAGAGGGGGAAATGGCCGGTGAGGGGACCACACCTGAAATAGCTAGAGATGGGCCTGAGCCAAAAGCTGGGTGCAAAAACCTTGGAACATTGCTGCCAGGACAGCTTGAAATGGTGCATCCAAATTTTACTCCATCACAAACCTTTACTGAGCATGTGGGGAGTAGATTATGATGCAAGAGGTTTGGGAGCATTTGCTTCTGGGGTCTGGCTTAGGGTGTCACTCCCTCTGGGAAATGGGAGAGGACATGGCTTGCTATGGACTGGCTGGATCCTCTCCAGTGTAGGGTGACCAGATGTCCTGATTTTTGGGTCTTTTTCTTATATAGGCTCCTATTATCCCCCACCCCGTCCCGATTTTTCACACTTGCTGTCTGGTCACCCTACTCCAGTGTGGCAGCCAGGGGAAGAGATCCTGTTGTGCTGAGCGCTCTCCGTCACCCACAGGTGGGGATTTGATTGTTATCGTCAGCCGAGAATAGAAAAGAGAATGTTTGTTCAGACATTAAATGCTTCCTGTGACTTTGCGCCGCCTGCCAAGCCTGTTTAACCCGCCGTCCTGCTTGTGTGGGGAGGCCAGGAAATTTCCTATGATCAAAGCATGAGGAAACCAGTCTGCTCCCCTTATTCACACCAGCTACTCACAGGGGAGAATAGCCCTGTGTGTACATAGATCCCCAGGCCACTCCTCCTTGTGTATACACCTCCCCCGTTTAATTCTCTGGTACATCTCCCAAACGCATTCCCTCTGCATACCTGTGCTCCTTCATATACACAAAGGGACTTAGGAACTAGGATACTAGTCCAGTATCAGCTCCAACATTGGCCAGTGCCGGCTGCCTCGGAGGAAGGTGCAATAAACCCTGCAGTAGGTGGCTGTGGAACAATCTGCCCAGGGGACACTTCCTCCTAACCCCAAATAATGAGAGGTTGCCCTGTGCCCTGTAGTTTGAGGGTGGCCAGGTTCTACCAAGAAGTCAGGACCTCAGTTTTACATCTCCTCTGAAGATGCTGCTATGATATCCTCTTCCTAAGCCTTCAATAAGCAACCGGTGAAATCTGAGCCCTTTGGCTAAGATCAGGTGTGGAGTCAGTAGAATCCCCGGCACATTGTATAGTTGGAGATGGACTTTACCCTGCCTTGGAAGGGGGAATGGACGTGAAGATCTCAGTGGCCCAGTGGCCAGTACCTTGGTCTTACATCGCAGTCAATATGTCCTTCAGTGACTAATGAGTGAGACCTTCGACCTTGGGCTACGATCAAAGGTAGTATCAATATAAAATGCATCATCTCAAGTAAGGGGAACAGCCTCTGCTCTGCCTCTGCTCATCTAGTAGAGTGATGGACTGGAAGAGCTCATAGGTCTTCTACATCTCTATTATTGTTGACTGATATAATGTCTTCAGGCAGGAGCGGCGCCAGGGTTTTTGGCGCCCTAGGCGGGGGTCCTTCTGCACTCCCGGTTGTCGTCGGCAATTCTGCGGCGGGGGGGTCCTTCTGTGCTCCCGGTCTTCGGGGCACTTCGGCGGCGGGTCCCAGAGCGAGTGAAGGACCTGCCGCAGAATTGCCGCCGAAGACCTGGAGCGCGGAAGGACCGCCCCGCTGCTGAATTGCCGCCAAGGGTGGCAAAATGCCACCCCCCCCAATCCTGGTGCCCTAGGCGACCGCCTAGGTGGCCTAAATGGAAGCGTTGGCCCTGTCTTCAGGTTGTTCCCTCAACCACCTGTGCACACTGCAGTTAGAGTCAGAATCCGATGTCCCTGTGCAAGTGAAATCACACCAAAAGAGGAAGAAGGATCATGAAAGTGTGTGGTCTGCTTCTCCAGAGTCTAAGGCAGGAAGGATGTTATCTGAAGGGCATAGGCAGCCAAAGGATAACATACACCTCTACCCCGATATAATGCAACCCGATATAACACGAATTTGGATATAACGCGGTAAAGCAGTGCTCCTGGGGGGCGGGGTTGCGCACTCCGGTGGATCAAAGCAAGTTCAATATAACGCGGTTTCACCTATAATGCGGTAAGATTTTTTGGCTCCTGAGGACAGCGTTATATCGAGGTAGAGGTGTAGTTTAGAAAAATCCCATGTATTCCCACAAGTCCTCAGTGAAAGAGCCTGCTCTAGTGGATGGCTCCCTGGACTAGGATGCAGGAAAGCTGGGTTCAATTCCTTGGCCAAGTTACTTAATTTGCCCTGTGCCCCGGTTTCCCATCCATGAAATGGGGATAATAGCACTTGCTACCTCATAGGACTGCTGGGAGGATAAAATTCTATTAATGACTATGAGACACTTGGATACTATGGTCATGAGGGCTATAGAAGTCCTTAGGTGAATACAACAGAGCTGAGCTCTGATATCTTGTGTGCCTCTGACTTTATGTCCTTTATAGAAGAGAAATAAATGTTACTTTACATAGTATTCCCCCACCTTTCTCTTTGATGTGAAATAATATTAAATGCTGTTCATTTTGAAGTGAATAGCACTGTATATAATTGCAAGGTATTATTATGATGGGAATGATTGTTCCCGGGTAACACAATGTAAAATTGTTAGCTCAAGAAGAGATTTTAAAATTTTTTTTTGGCATGTCTTTTATCTAAATGACCGAGCTGTGCTCCAGAACTCCTACTGTATATTTGTTGTGCGGGGGTTGCCAGGTTGTGTTTCTTTATCAATAGAGAGATCAAACTGCTTTGTAAGAAAGGAAGATTTATGTTTGATACTTGGGGTTACAGAAGAAGTGGGCCTGATTTGCTCAGCTCTAAGGCTGGAATTCATTAGCTCAAGGTGTGCTGTTGATTAACTAATTCATCTAAGCCGCCAGGTCTTAGAGCCTACAAAGCATCACATGACCTCATCCTCATCTACTTCTTCCTAGGTACTTATCCAGCACACTTCACTGAAGTGTTTGAGACACTCATAAACAATAGCATGGCTGGATCTGTCCTCACAGCTACACTGTGAAAGGAAGAGGCGTCATTATTCCTGTTTTAGAGAGGAAAAACTGAGGTGCATAGAAGGTAAGGCCAGATTTTTTAGTAAAGCTCAGCTCCCACTTGGAGGAAATGCAAGCTGTCACTTTACCTGTGGTAGGGAGGGAGAGGTTCCTGATCCTGCTTGCAGGCTAGGGGCCTGTGTAGCAAAGGGTGCATTCGGAGTCAATCTGGAAAGAGTCAGCCTCAAGCAAAGTGAGGTGAGCTGGGCCTCGCTGCGCTAAGCAGCTGCCTGCTTTCTCTCGCTCAGGTTTTGGGATCTTGTGTGTTATCGTTCTGAAGGCAAAGAAGTAAAGTCGAGTGGCGTTGCAACCTTCCAGCAAGAGGAGCTGTGTTTTTATCTAACCCCTCTGTGTGTGTATGCCTTGAACATAACAACCTAGCCATGGATTTTGGTGCCTAGGTGGCGTTAACAGAGCGCAGCACACCGGGTGCAGAGCTCTGTTGGAATCCTCGCCCCCAAATGTAGGTGCTGAGCACTGGGATATCTGTCCACAGGCCGTTTGCCCAAGGTCTGGGGTTAAAGTAGGGGGCAGGTAGAGATAGCACAGCTCCTCAGGATGGAGCGCCTCACTTGGGAAACCTGCATTCCCCATTAAAGCAGCGGTGAGCTCCCTTCTTGTTCTGCATTAGCAGCATCCCATACTGCTCTCCCTGTTTCAATCCCCTTGGGCCCCTTCCCAAGCTCCACAGGGAGTCTGTCAGATGCAGGAACTGAACCCACAGTCCAGTGCCTTACCTGCAAGATGATGAAATCCGTCTTTGCGCTCCTTCTCTCTGTACCCCCTCCACCTATCACTGCTTCGCCCAGTCCTCTTGCCTTACTCCAGTTCTTGGCTTCCACCATCACAGCAGGACCACGCCGTTTCCCTGACCCCACCTGCTGAGTGCCTCTGTATCCACCGCAGAATCTCTTTGTAAAGCTCACCTCCTTGGGAAATCCCTCCTCCCGTTGTCTCCTCCTCAGAGCCTTCCCCGGCTGAATCGTGCTGGGCCTGCCCCGACTACGAGCCTGCCTACCTGAGGGAGATTTGCACCAGCGCGTAGCTTGCTTTGGTAGGTTCCTGGTGTAAGTCCCATGAGCGCGGGCCCTGTTTCACACCACCACCATGGTGTGTTGGTATTAGGAGCATGCCCCAGAAGTGCTCATTTCTCAGACATGCCATGGCACATGGGGCCGGGCCGTGAAGCACAATGTGAATTTACAGTCCCACACATGTGTTTGATTCCCAGTAATAACCTGTTACCTAGAACCCTGCAGGGCTGACCTCGGGGAGGGGTTTTCGCCGGCATGTTCCCTTTTGTTCCAGGGGTTCCATGCCCTGGCATTGTGATTTCCTTCCCATGCACACCAGGCAGGTGATAGTAGGAGGAGGAATCTCCTGGCAGAGGAGTGGTTGCGTGGGCCTGGGCTGGCCTCAGCTGGCTTGTGTTGTGTCCCTTCCTTTCCCCCCAGTTTGGTTTGCCTGATACCAGCCCCGAGGGCTATAAAAGGTTAATTGTGCAAAGTGCTTAAGTAGGTTTTGATTAAATGTTTATTTGTTAGACTCTGAACAGAAACCATATTTGATTACCCACGGGGCTGGCGCGTTTGTGTGTTTTGTTCCCTGAATAATGGGGGTGGAGGGGAATAATCTGCACTTGCTGATGAGCTTAACGCTGAGGGGGGCTGGCTGGCATATCTGCTGTCCGGGCATGCTCTTCTCTGGGGTGTGTGGGTGGCTATCAGCTCCCTAGATAAGAGCAGGGGTCACCTTGCTGGGAATATTCCCTCATAGCACCAAAGGGATTGGGGGTGCAGCAGCATCCTCTGGCTTAAAGTGGTTCCCATCATAGACAGGGTTTACAGTTTGGTTCAATGGCTCTCAGCCCCCCTACTATACACATTGTTCCAGCCCCCCTGCACAGCATACCCCAGTACTGCACCGACAGTACCCAGCATTGCTACAACAGCAACACACGTGCTCAAGAGCTGTGTCATTCAGGGAGCACTAATGGAAGGTGCCTTGGCTCTCACGTCTCAAAGCTAGCTGCAGTCTGCACTCTCCCAGGGCCAGCAACTCTCTGTATCTCTGTGCTCAGCACCCTCTGCCGGGCGAGGCAGGCAGGCAGGCAGGCAGGCAGCTCTTTCAGAGGCACACATGCACTGTCAGGAGATCATCGCTAAAGAACAGCAAATTGAGACAAACCAGGGGACGCAGGCAGAACTCCCTCAGTTCCTAGGAATCATATGGAATAAGCTGCCAGGTAAACGCATTAGGCCCAAATAATATAAATGAGTTTGATGGACAGCTGGGCATGTTTACGAAGTGGAGGGAACTGAAGGACACAGGAAGAAATCGACGGGGGTGGGGCTGAGATGCACTTAAAAGGGACAAGTCTCCATGCCCTCACGCCTTCTGTTTCCTTTCACTTTAATTTATGCAGAAGGGCTTGACAGTCAGAAAGAAGTCTCTAAAAATAATGTGTGTGTGTTTTTTAAAATAGCATTTAGTCTTAATTAGATGCTTCCATTTTTCAGCTGGGTGAGTTCTTCAAAGCAAATTCAGCTTTTGTGTCCTATTTATACGGTAATTGCAGCCTTTTTTTATTGGTCACTATAAATACTGGTTAATCAATACGCAGAAGAGCTTTCTTCTCACCATTATCAACAGGCACGAGAGTGGTTAGAAGCAGGACTCCTAGCTTCTTTTCCTGCACTCACCATCCTATCAGGCACAGAGCTTGCCATGGATGATGGATGTATTTGTGACCCTCAAGCATGGTTTCTGCAACTAGTGTGGAGGAATGGAGCTGCACTCCCTTGCACAAAATGCAACTGCATCACTCTGGGGCTCTCTTCTCTGCATTGGTTCTCCACTGAGTACATTGGCCAGCCAAATGCCTCTGTCCTGATATTCAAAGCCCTCCCTGACAGATTGCCTCTCCCTCCATTGCTGTGAACTGCTATGACAAGGACATTCGACTGGAGCAATGAAACTGTTGGCCTGTCAGGGACGGGTCCTGAATGCACATAGCAGAATGTTTACAGGAACCGGGCCTAGGCCATGGGACTTGCTCATACCTTGGCAGCACTCTTCCTTTTGAAAAGGCTCCAGGTCCCGCAGCAAACTTAGCTAAAACCGCAGCCTCGCTGGGTAGGATTTGGAATCATCTCTGCATTTGTGTTTGCACTATATTCCCCTCACTCCAATCCCACGTACACACGTACAGACACTCCCTCTCTCTCCCCCTCTTGTGTGCACTGCAAACCCTTGGGTTATAACAGGCAGAAGTTGGCAGCCCAGATGTGTCTGCTATGACCAACATGTGCTGTGATTTTTTTTTTTGTTATATATGCAGTACATATAATACACCCCTCCAGCGTGATTGCTAAGCGGAGTCCAATTAAAAAGTTTCATTTCCTTATGCTGAGTGGTGGAATGTCAGACATCTTGCCTGTCCAGGGTAAAATGCAATGCTAAGCAGTGCAGGCGCCTGCTCTCGCTACTTCTGCAAACCCAACCAAGCCCTGGCTGTTTGCTTTCGGCCTGCATTAGCATTTAGATTTCCTTTTGCACATGGAGGGACTCTCTCGCTTCCCCAGACACAAAACCCAGCCATGCAGTTGGCTGGAGGTCACCTTCGCTCTCCTGCCTGGTGAACAGATTCCTGTGGGGCTTGCTCCTCTTGCAACCCACCCTTCCCTTTGCCTGCATGGCTCTCAGGCCAGTGTGAAGAAAGACTACATCCCAAAAACAGACGCACCAGGGGCGAATTCTGCTCCCAGTGTAGTGAATGGCAAAACTGCCACTGACTTCAGCGAGACAGGAGTTGGGCCTAAGAGTCCCTTGGTGTGTGTAACACTTTTCAGGGTTGCCCCAGGTGTACAGTGTGCTACCAGCTGCTCACAGGAGGAGGGAGCCCTCTCTGTGCCCACCAATGAAAACTCTCCCCAGTCATCAGCTGTTGGTAACACAGGTCCTGTGCTCTGGGCTCTGTGAGCCACACTCTTTTCTCCTGCAGGCTTGCAGTTTACACATGCCACTTTGTTACCCCCGAGTGCCCTGTCCTTGGCCTTCTGGACACCCCAATGGCCACTGATCTGCTGCCTTCCTGGAAGCAGGGCCCCCCAGTTTACTGGTTTCACCTCAGTTCTACACTCTCCTTAGCACAAGGCACTTGGTCATTAGTAAAACCAAACTGAAGTTTATTTAACAAACCTTCAGTTAAAGATTCAAATAAAAGCAAGTGTAAGTATTTGAGACTAAAAGGTTTCAGGTAAGAGTCAAAAGAACACCATAAAATGCATTCTGTAGCCTGTTCTTATTAACAGGTGACTTTCCTGTCTAACAAGGTATTTCGCACCCAGCGATCCCAGTCCTTGCAGTACTTGTCCTGTCCTGAGAGCTGGGATTCACGTCTCATGAGACACCCCCACTAACCAATTCTCTCCTCTGAAATGGAGAGCCACTTGTGCCATTTCTTCTGCTCTTCTACAGTTACAGGCTACTGGCTCTTGAACCCCAGGAGAGTTCTCTGAAGATGGGGCTCCCTGGGCTATTTGTCTTTGTAAATGCTCCAGTCTCCACCTGGTCCAGACAATAAACAAAATGCTATCTCCATTAATATCCATTGTTCTTAATATTGATTGAGTTAGCCCTGAGACCCGCCTTGCCTCAGCTGAAAAGTCTCAATTCACCATTTTTGCCTGGGTACGCCTGGGCATGTCTTTGTCACAGCATGCAGCCCTGGGTCCACATCAGAAATCTCCTTGAAGTCCAAAGCTCTCCAGGTCTGAAGTCAGCTGGAGCTGCACTGCTTAGCACCCCTCAGGATTTAGCCCCATGGCTGGAGCTTTGAGGTTGTTTCAAGTGTGGTTACCCAAAATGATTAGGTGCATCTCAGAAGCCTCCTATTTTGTGTTCGATTGTTTCCCATGAAGGGCAAAAGGAGGACATCTCCTCCCTCCAAGTCTTTGTCCATTATTTTAGAACCAGACTCAAACCGAGCATTTCTTAATGGTTCTGAGGTGTTCGGGGACAACATTATTCCCCCTGTGAGCTTCCAGCTAAGGACTGGAATTGCCAAAAATGCAGTGAGAGAGCCTGCTCTTAAGGTGTTTCCAGACTGGATTTATTTCTGGACCAGAGCAGAATTCAAGCTGTCAGAAATCTCACGAGAAAATCTGCTCCTGCCAGATGTCTGGCCTGGCTTTGCAAACTTGGCCAGAATGGAACAATCTGAGGAGTTTTAGAAATGCAACTGCCCATGCTCCATCGCTGCCAGGCATTAGATTGGGGTGTAATTTTTTGGGTGAAATTTTTGGTGATTTCATGTCAATTTCAGCTAATTGTTTTTGTGGGAAAAAACCTAAAAGAAAAAAAATCTGAAAAAGTCAAAATGTGTTGTTTTGATATTTTTGAAACAAAATGTTTTGATCTTTTGTGTCACAATGCTATTTCATTTAGACAGTTCCCAGATAAAAAGTTTAAAAATGCCTGAAATAGAAACAAAATTTTCATTCAACATGAAATGGATTTTTTTTAACTTTTCAATTTACCAAAAATTCCGAAAAAAAAAACCCCAACAGTTTTGGGGTTGACCAAAATGATTTTTTTTTTATTTTTCAGAACGGCCAGTCATCTGAACAATATATTATTCAGAAAGCACTAAAAGGGATGGATCTGAATGAAATCCCCAGATGCAAACACCCTGCATTTTGGGGTGCTTGAAACATAGCATTGAAGTCTGTGACTTATGCCCATTTCTTTTTGCTGCTGAAGTGATATCAATGAGATACCCCCTAAGGTGCAAAACTCCCCTCGCTGCATTTCATTACAAGTCTGAAACTCGGTGCAAGCTCTTTGCTGGGGTCCATGACCATCCTGGGCCACGTTGTGAATAAAACTGTGCCTGCTTTATGATTCCATGTTGAAAACAGGCTGAAATGCGGCCATTTAATCAGTTTTGACTGGAGTTTGTGGATCCCTGTTGCTATGAAAAGCCCTGTTCACCAGGCATTGGGGCAGCAGATTTCCAGCACACCTGCATTTGAAGGAATGGACCATGTGGATCACCTGTCTGCAACAGGGCCCTCTGATACTAGAACAG